TTATTATTCCTTCGGGAATGTAGATAGATGATTCCCACGGGAATGAGATTGTTATGTTTAGATAAGATGGAGGAAGGGTTCCATGAGTGGAACAAGGTAAGAGAGTTCTTTAAGAACTTAGAGATAATCCGTGAGGGATTAAGAGTAAGAAATTTGTAAGGGGTTCAAAAGAAGAAGAATGATGTTAAGGGATCCGTGAAAGATCAAGATGAGGGGATTATGCCTGGATGGTTGTTCCCAGTAAGATTAGAATTATGTTGTCCCCCCTATATGATAAATGTGGTTATCATATATGATTGCACCATTTGGCTCTAGATGAGAGTAGAATGTTGATGCATGAGAAGTTGTGAATAAAGAGATAAAGTATAAGTAGAGTAAGAGAAAGGCATGGCTAGGGTATGAGATGCGAATATAGTAAAGTAAGAGTATGAGAAGGGAATGTGTAGACTATGGAAAAAGTGTAGAGATATGAGATGAGATAAGAGTAATGGATAAGAAAAGATATGTAAAAAAGAAAAGTATGAGGGAGATAAAGAAAGAGAATATAGATTATGTACGGAGTAAGAGATGAGCCTGAGAAGAGGCTAAGAAAGAGTATGTGAGGAGAATAAAAGACTAGAGAAGAAGAGTAGAAGATAAAGTATGAGATAGATGAGATGAATATACATGAGAAATAGTAGAAGAGATAGATGGATTGAAAAAGAATGGCAGAGTATGTTATGAGAAGAAGAGATTAGATTGTAGAGTATGAGAAAGAAGAGAAAAGAATGAAAGAGTATGTGAAGAAAGAAAGAGTTAGAAGATGAGTAGAGTAACATGAAAACATATAGAATATAACTCACCATACATGTGGTCTGATGTATGTAGATTTTTATGTTTTGCAAGTTCAAGTGTAACATACACGTTTTGAATTCGTGTTTTGTAATGAATAAAATTGTGAAATACTATGCGAAATTGAGTGTTGAGTTCTAACAAGATGGTTTTTACTAGAAATGGAGTAAAACTATGTTTAGAATCACTCAGAAAATATTGGAAGTCTTATGAGATTCCAATTAAAAGCCAAATAGTGAAATTTAGCGAAAATATAAATTTTTAAATAATTAAAATATTATTATTTGATGTTGTAGAGAATCTCGTTAGAAGTGTTTAGGCAAAAACCTCATCGAAATCCAAGTTATAACGAAGAATTTATGACCAATCGAAGATCCGCGACAAAACCGGCACGGCGCCGAATGACATAAAAAGTGAGTTTTTGATAAACTATTTTTTTTGCCTTAGTGATCTAAATGAAAGTCTTAGTATTCGTTAAACCGAGAAGTTCAATAAAAAGAACGCCAAAATCTGACTTCGTATGAGGAAGTTATGATTTTTCGAAGTTTCAACTTAGAAGTAGACAGCTAAAAACTCGAATTTTAGATCGAGCGATATTTAAGCGATACATCCTAAACGAAAATCGAAGGTCTCGTCATTTTTAATACAACAGTAAAAAGTCTGACGAAAAAGGATGTCGGATGAAGAAGTTATGAATTTTTAACGGATTTTCCTATCCCGGTCTGTTAAAAATAATAATATTAAAAATAAAATCAAAATTAGCCGACAAAGTCTAAACGAAAGTTGTAAAGCGTAATTTTAGCTACACGTGCATATAAATAACGTCAAAAATGGAGCTTGTATGAGAAAGTTATGGATTTTAGAAGTTCGGGGCTCAAATTCCGAGAAATCTCGCAAGAATAGTGTCAGGCCACGTCACCTCGCACGAAGCAGCAGCATATCCGCGACGTGGCCCAATCCGAAACTGGCGATTGTCGCATACTGATTCGACCGAAGTGCGGTCCAACGCGCCTCGCCTTGGTGTCCGAACCTCGCTTCTCCACGCCTCCTCGCGTCCGAGCCTTCGCGCCTGCCTCGTCACCCCTCCTGACCGAACCTCGCAGTTGCGACGTGGACTCTTCTCAGCCACAAGGACCGAACCCTCGGCCCTATATAAAGGGAGGTTGCGAGCCTTCCCGGGTAACTTTGAAATTTTGACACTTTTTCACCCTAATTCCATATATTCACTATTTTGACTTTCCCCGAAGCCCCGGTATCAATTTTAGCACCCGAAACACGTCCTGAAGCTCCCGAGAAGCCCGAAAAATTTATCTTTTTGGTTTTGAAGCCCTACCTTCGCAGAGCCCGGTTTTCAATTAAGCTCCCGGTTTTCAACATAGAAAGTCATATTTAAAGCCGAAGTGCTGTCCAAATTACTATTTTAACCCCTGGTTAATTTAAGGTGAGTTCATTATATAGGAACAATTGTATGTTATGTGTTATATGTGCTATGTGCTTTTCAGTGTTATTATTCTGAGTTATTTTCCCGTGTTATTTTATTCGCTATGTTTATAGCCAATGTAATATCTTTGACCATGTGATCAGTGAAAGGACTTAGATTCACATTGGTACTGGTACGTAGCCTCTGTCCATGTAGAGCATGTCTCCATAAGAGAATGACTTCTATTCTATGGCATTGGCAAATGGTTAGACATGACTATAAGCCTGAAATCTAACAAGATGTTAATCAGAAATTGCATGTCTTCTATGCCATTTGGGCCAAAGTTTTATTGATGTATATCAAGCATTGAAAAGTATATCTTTGAATAAAGTCTTTGATTGATATGAACGCTTGTCACATGATTTCACATATGTCTTGTTGTTCCTCTTTGCTTCTGCCATATTGATGTATATATATGGCATAATGTTATATTGTATCTATTATTGAACTCACTAAGCGTCACCGCTTACCCTATCAATGTTTAACAATTGCAGGTGATAAGTAACTAGTATGATCACATACTGTTGAAAGATTTAGAATAGTTTGTAATAGTACTTTTTTACTTCAGTTTATGTTTGTATAAATTACAATATCCTGGGTAGTTATGTAATATATAACACTTTGTAGTAGTCGGTTTGTATCCAGTAGTTTGTAATCCCTTTATCAATGTAAAATATTGCTTTTATGAATATGCAAGTAGCATGTTTTGGAGTAATAATATTGTGAAGTATGAAAGTTTGGGTCTTTCAAAAAAAAATACGAAAGTTGGAGTCTTTCAACCATGTGTTAACCATTGTACGAAAGAAAGTATAAGCACAAGGACTTATACTAGAAGTAGTTTTATTTTTAGTACACCTTGTAGCTTTAAACTTATATGTATGATTTTATTGTAAACCTTAATATTTAGTGCGAAGGAAAATGTTTTATTTTTATGAGTTAATAGATTTCCACAAAAATTTTATAGATAACTCTGAAAATCCCTAGATAATTAGATGAGAAAAGTTTGGATCATTACATGGTGGTTGAGTGAACTCACTCCATGGTGGATCTTCATTATGAAGATATTTGAAAATCCACCTATATTTGTCAAGTGAAAATGATAAAAAAAACACCATCCTCATCCTTTCAATGTGCATAAATAACATGGAAAAAAAAGCAACTTACTGTAAACTTTTTTCACGTGAAAGTCTGACGATGATCCACCACGAAGACTCCATATTGTCGAAATCATTCAACTTTGATAATGGAATATTAAGGTTTTGTAAACATGCAGGGAAGATGGAGGAAGAGATATCTCCAACAAAGTCCTAATTTTTTGTGTCACTTTATGGTGTAACACTTGTCATGTGGCACTCCAAGCTAGACAAACTGTTGGTATGTTATGACATGTCAGTGTGTTTCGGTTATCTAAAAAAACTGATTTTTGGCAAGGCAGTAGAAGGGTGGGATTTAAACTCAAGGCGTGCATTTTACCACTAACCTAGAAGCATATTGTTGCATTCATTGTTGAATATTTGTAATTTGTATAAAATGTGGCATTTGTTTCTTACCAACCTTCCACTTCCGCCTTCCTCATATGTAACTCCAAATCTTGCTTCACCCATTTTCTTTCCTTTGCCTTCAACTTCGTCATAAAGATTAGCCCCTACCCCTCCATACTTCAAGAGGCGAAGATCAGAAGTCAACATCGACGATCAATGGTTAGTGATGAGAGCTATGTTCTTGCAATTCTATACACATAATGGAAAACTTTTAAATAAAAGTAAGATGTTTGCATTATCATTCTTGAATTATTATTATATCAAACGTATATATTTTAGGATATTTGGACAAATTTGGAAGTATATATAGGGCAAGATAATGGTTAAGGTTAACTTAGTTTTAAACTCATAAGGCGAGCTCATAAGAATTTTTACCCATTTTGAGGTATGTCACAAAAGATTAAATTTAATTCTAGCATATGACCTTTTATAAATTGAAGTATACCTGCAAGTTTTGAAAAGCAACAATTTGAAATGAGTAGTTTCACAGAAGATTTGTATGCTAGTATTGTAATCATACATTGTATACACGATGCATGAAATTGTGTGTTGAAAGTAAAGGGTGCTTGTGTGGTGTGTTTATGTATACATGAATGGCTATGAATTATATAATGTGTGGTAATGGTCAAGACACTTAGGAGAATTATTATTATGACAACTCATGTCGTGAACTAGTTGTATCAACTCTTCTTGCCGGGAAAGGCCCAACAAGGATCGGTTAATGATATGAAATACATAAGCTTTGTGTCGAAACATATTTTAGGTTATAGAGGACTTAGTTTTATAGAAGTGGCTTTTGTGACAACTAGAAAATATGACTTTAGGATTAGCAAGAGAGAAACATTTAAACATTACTTGTAAACTATGGTCTTTGTAATTATGTATTTCTTCTTTATGACTTGTTGATGGTTTTTTGTAACCCTACTCAAGGACTAGGGGTATTCCTATTACCCATCCCCACTTTTTTTAGGGATTCCATATCATTGTCCTCATCCCTGGTTAAAACGGGTACGAGTTCCCCCACATGGTATGAGTTTTTTTTTTAATCCCTAATCGATGTTTGTTTGGGGGAAAATACCGGCAATAGTAAAAAAATGGGGGGTATTTTCAAATTTTAGACATGAAAATGGACATTTCTAGGTATAGACATGGATTCCGTTGAAGTAGCTTTGCGGAGCTTTGCAGAATTTACTGTAGCTCCGCGGAATGACAAAATCGTAAATAAATAAGGGTATTAAAAAAAACTCAAGATCCATTCCGCGGAGCTATCTCCGAGGAATGAACTCATTCCGCGGAGGTAGTTCCGAGGAATGGATCTTCAAAAAAAAATTTACATTGGTTCTTCGGGTTCGGGTTTTATGTTAATTTTCTAACTAATTATTTTCAAGAAAAGATTATGGTAGTATGATAATCTTTTCTTGAAAATTATTAGTTGGGGAATGAATAGAAACCTTGAAGAATCGATGTGAAAAAAAAAAATCTAAAGATCCATTCATCGGTGTTACCTCTATGGAATGAGTTCATCCCTCGGAGGTAACTCCACGGAATGGATCTTGAATTTTTTTTTTTTTTAATACACTGATTTATTTACGATTTTGACATTCCACAGAGCTACCTCCACGAAATCGAGTCTATATCCGGAAATCTAACTTTTTATGACCATATTTTGAAAATACCCTATTTTTTAACTATTGACATTTTTTCCCTTGTTCGGGGCTTTTTAGTAAATATAATAGCTCCATTCTGGAGCTCACAAAGGCAAATTGAAATGGATAAGGTATTGACCACTACTAGAACCACCATCACGAGACGACGACAACCGCCTGCTTCTAATTCAACAACTTTCGTATTGCAGAAATTCAATGGCTAGGGTTACTACCAGCTCCATCGCCCCGCCTTTTAAACAGTCAATTTCTGCGGGTTCTCTGCAGCCAAAATTCTCTAGTCTCCGGCTGGAATTCCCTAATCTAAACGTTGCCTGTGGCGACCGGAATCACCGGATCACCTGCCGTTACGGGGGAGGAGCTAATTCACGTCAGGAAGACTCCAGACGTTCTCCGCGGCTTAATTCTGATGATGAAGCCCTTGATGTCGCCACTATCAGGTACTGTTCCTCTTTTACATGACAATCAATACATAGCACTCATCTAAACGTTTAAAGAGAAATTAAATATCCTTCTACTTTTGTTCCATCTTATCCATATTTAATTTCTTAGTATCCTAAAATATAATTAGATCTTAAATTTCATTAAATGAGAAAAAAGATACACATTTAATTGGATTGGATAGGATATTTAATTTATCATGTTTAAAACATACAGAAGTTTATTCGCATGATCCTAGATGATATGATTGGATTTTCCTTCCTTCTCAATTCTCCTTCGATTCACAGTAAATTACTGATTTCGACGTTAAAACTACTAATTTTTCAAATGCTTATTTGATGGAACTTCGTATTCGTATTACAAACTTAACCTCAAAATTATTCTATTTTAAAGTGTTCATCGTTGAAAAATTCACCATAGATAGCAATTTTTGGTGGATGCAAATCCCAATCAACAATCAGTGTTTGTATATTTTAAAATTTCGATTTGATTTCAAAGATCATTAAGCAATTACAAATGCTAAAACACAGTTTTTATGCCCTAGCTATATCAAATCCAAATAGGGTCTAAAGCAGACTAAGTTTGCACTCTGTTTGAAGTGTTATCTTTTTCCTTGGATGAAAATAGGTCAAATACTGTGAGGCTTATAGATGATCAGCAAAATATGGTGAGTTTATTGCAAAATGCACATATTAAATTGTAGGAAATTGTTTTTATGAAACTGATCCACTTGTTTTTCTAGGTTGGTATAGTATCCAAAACTGCTGCTATTCAGATGGCTGAAGAAGCTGCACTTGATCTTGTATGCATATATTTTTCAAATACTTGTATTTCCATCTGAATTTTCTTTTCTTATTTCTTGAGTAATTTCTTGTGTTAAGTAATAGTTTCTTATCTTAACCATATGTTATCCTTTCTTCCTTTTTTCTCTCTCCCACTTTTTAAGTACATTTATATGCTTTTTTATAGGTTATATTGTCTCCAGATGCAGACCCTCCTGTTGTCAAATTGATGGATTACAAGTAAATCACATCTCCTCATTTATAATACTGATAAATTCTTTTCAATAATTTGTCTTGAATCTTAATCATCAGTTACAAAATGTTGCAGCAAATATAAATACGAGCAACAAAAGAAGAAAAGAGAGCAGCAGAAGAAAAATACTGGTGAATTCAGAACTCCTCTTTTCTCTTGTGTTTTATTTTTTTTTTAATTTCAAGAAAACGAATGCTGAATAAAATATGTTCATTTGTAGCACTTCGCATGGATCAAAAGGAGCTTAAAATGGGGTACAACATCGATGTGCATGATTATTCTGTACGTTTAAGAGCTGCTCAAAAGTTTCTTAAAGATGGTGACAAGGTTTTTTTCTTTACATTTTATTTCATATAATAAAGTGGCTGAATGGGTAATGATGTTACATTAAGTCAAAAAGAAACAATTCATGATTAATTAATTTTGTCAGGTTAAGATTATAGTGAACTTAAAGGGACGTGAAAATGAGTTCAAAAATAATGCCATTGAGCTACTGAATCGGTTTCGCAATGACATTGGGGAGGTACCTTTTATATTATATATATGTGGTTTATTTATTTTTTATAAATTTTTTGAGTAGAAGTTTTATTATTTATAAAATGAGTTGAATGATTTTGTAGTTAGGGAATGAGGAAAGCAAAAATTTGAGAGACAGGAACATGTTCATGGTATTGATCCCAAATAAGGTTGTTGTACAAAAAGAAGTACCAAAGAGAAAAGGAAAGTCAACTGGGAAAGAAATGTCAGCTAGTGTATGAAAGTAAGGAAAAAGTTAAGTTTGGTGACTATTTTCTAATCTTCAATTTGTTGATTTGTTCATAAATCAACATGTATTTTAAATTTGCAATCTTGTATTGTTATAGATTCTATATCAGTTTGTTTCATAAATCAACGTGTATTTTGTTGGCCATAATTAATGTTGTGTAACTATTCATAATTTGCATGTTTTGTTTAAATGATAGGATTTGTATAAAATCTAATGAATTGAACTCTTCACATTTCTTAACCAAATAAGATAATGAAATGGATTTCAATTCCAAAAGTTGTCCAACTAATGGTGTAAGAGTTCTAACAAAAATAGATGTAAGAGAAAGAAAGATGTAAAATGACATAAAGTATGAAAGCTAAAAAAAAAAAAAAAAAAAAAAAAAAGGATAACTTTTGGATTAATTTTTTTTCTTCCAAACGAACTTTTTTCTTTGATTCAAGGTTTTTTTTAAAGCAAAAAGCTAATAGCCAAACATACCCTTAGTCTTGATTTCAGTTGCAAGTGTATAATCTATGCTCATCTATTTGACGTTGTTACATGATATTTGAACGATAAAATGTCCAATTGCTAGTTTAAGACATTTATTGAGATGTTAGACACAATCCACATGCCATTCATCATGCAAGTTTTTATTAAAAAAAAAAATGGATATTTATTGCATAGGAATTTATACAGGTCTTCATGGGTTTGAAAGTTGCCACATATGTTCGAGATCAATCTTTTGAGTTGTATAACAAATACAGGTGTTCATGGGTTAGATTTTAAACCAAAAATGGAATTTGAAGTTCAAAAGGGAAATAATAATAATAATGTTATGTAGAAGTAATATAAATTTGGTTTTATATAGTGGATTTAGGTTCTTAGATTAATACTAATAATAAGAATGATACTTGTATATATTATTTTTTAGCATTCGTACAAGAATACAATCAAATTCATACATGAATATAATTATAACATTACACTTTCCGATCTTTTTCTTGTTGGAACACTAATCTACCAATTGTAACAATGAAAATGTTTTGTATTTGGTTGACATTGCTATATTTGGATAGATTTCAAAGTACAATGTTGTAATATGAACAAATGAGAGTAGGATGTTATAATAAAAAAATCAATTAAAGTACATTGCTACTTCAAATGCATCACAATTTTAGCAATAGAGATACAGAGCATAACTAATGAGTAATAAATGAGATAAAGATTGTGTCACCTAATAAGTGCCTTCAATTGCATAAATGTTTTCAAAGCAGCACCTATGATTTTTTGTTTGCTCTCATGGTCACCATCATTATTTTCAAGGTACATTTGTACAAGTTTAAATATTAGGTCATCGTGTATTCATCTAATGAATAGATATCAAAACAGATACTTAAATACTAAAAGACCATTGCATGTGGCAGTAAATAGTAAAACAGGTAAATGTATATACTAAAAAAAAATAGGCCATGGCGTATTTCTAGAAGAATATATATATATATATATATATATATATATATATATATTATATATATATATATATATATATATATATATATATATATATATATATATATATATCGAAATAGTTGAATAAATTTATGGGAAAACTACAATAAAGTCCCTAAGTATTGCCCGTATAATCGATTTAGCCCTTATATATTTTTTTTTTGCAATTTAGTCCTAAATACCTGTAAACGCAATGTTTTAAAACCCGGGTTTTTAGTTGACCCGGTGTGATGACCGGTTCACAGGTCAACCGGTTCAACCGGTTGAACCGCCGGGTCAACCCGGTTTATGGTCTTTTTCTATTTCTATATATTTTTACTTTCATGCATAACGCATAAACATATAAAACCAATAATTTGATGTCCACAAAGTTTAAACATTGAAGAAACCGCAAACGGCTCGTTGTTTTGGCGTTCGCTACTTGTATCCAATCATCCAAACTCTATTGAAACGGGTCAAACCGGTTTAACCGGTTCAACATAAGCGGTCGAACCGCGGTTTAGGGGAAACCCGGCCGGTTCGATCCGGTTCGTATTTTTACAAAAAACCGGTCTAATTTGACCCGCCTTCTACCCCGGGTCACGGTCCAACCGGTTGAACCGGCCGGGTCGACCCGGGTTTTAAAACATGGTGTAAACGTAATCAAAACGAGATATTTAATAGGTTAGCCGGTATCTAACTGATGTGGCAGCTTACGTGGAAGTCATCATGTGAAATAACATCCTACGTGCCATTTAAGAGGGCTAAATCATTGAATCGAACTCGTCTTCTTCAATCTCCAGTCAAAGGAGCGAATGATTAGGGCAAATTGGCAACAGGAAATCGATGTCGAGTTCGTCAAGCACCAACATCAGAACGTGCTATTGTGGAGATACGGTTGGAATGTGGACATCATGGACTCGAAAGAATCCAGGTCAGAGGTTTTTTGGTTGCCCAAATTACATGGTATAGAATCTTCAAAACTCACTCAAATTCTTCTAACCCTCTAAATTTCCCATTTTTCTATGTTAAAAACATGCATCTTGCTATGTTATGTAGGATGAAGAGAAGGACTGTGGGTATTTTCGTTGGATTGACCCACCACTATTGAATAAGTGGTATAAAGAAAGAATGTATGAGTTAGGAGCTGTTGCTAATGGGGGTGTAGCTATTCCTTTTAATAACCCTGTTAATGAAGGTGAAATACCTGTTGATGGCCCTATTGCCCCTGTGAATGTTGATGTCCCTATTGCCCCTGCGAATGCTCTTGAACCTGATAATCAAATTGCAATGTGTGACAATACACATGTGCCTAGTAATGAATTTGGATTCTGCAAGTGGATGATGGTTTGTTTTGTTTGTTTCATTGTAGGGATGATGTATGGTTAGTTTAGTGTAAGTTGTAGGGTATTATGGTATGGTAGGGATGATGTAATCTTTTGGTTTGTTATCATCATGATGTAATAGATAAATGTTGTTGTGGATCATGTAATGTTTCGGTTAATGAAATGGCAATATGTTATTATGGTTTGCATAAATGGTGTACACTAGACAAATATAACCATGATTTAACAATTGGTGTTGAATTTGGGACTAAAATGATCACCATTGACAACAAACCAATAAAGCTCCAAATCTGGGACACAGTTTGTCTCCTTCTTTTCTTCTATACCTTATTCTCTTGTTACATTTATTATAAAAAGAAATCTTAAAAAAAATCTCTTCTTTTTTCTTTATATATTTGTTAGGATGGTCAAGAATCATTTAGATCAATAACAAGATCTTACTACAGAGGTGTTGCTGGTGCCCTTCTTGGTTTGCATAAATGGTGTACACTTGACAAATATAACCATATTAAGGGCATTCACAATGTTTCAATGTGGCTAAAATAATTAAACAACAAACTCCAATATGTCATTACCAACCATGTTAAGGGCATTCACAATGTTTCAATGTGTTTACAAAAGATGTACAAAATATGGTTATCAGTAATTTAAGGGCATTCACAAAAGATATACAAAAGTAGCATTCACAAAAGATGCACAAAAGTAGCATTCACAAAAGATGTACCAAAATACCCTTACTACCCTTAACACCCTAACACCCTAATCCAACTCCAATGGTGAATTTGAAGAAGTCCCAACACATCCCATCTTCTTCAGCTTGGTTTTAACAATCCTCTCAGAGGGCCTTCTTTTTTTCACAATCCTAAGGTGTACTGGTAATTCATGGGTGTCATTAATGCCTTCTTCTTCTTCCTCACTTTCTGGTTGTGTCTCAGGGATATTTTCTTCATCCCCATCTTGTGTCTCTGTCTGAGGTGGATACTCCTCTTCCTATAAAACATCAAGCAATTAATAACATAAACGAATGTAAACATTAAGGTAATATAGAGGGTTTACCATAGACATAGGAAGAACTTGTTCAATAGTGTCATTGTAATCATTGAGTTGTTTCATATGTGAATCTGTCAGACTAAGTGACTTTTTAATTTCTTCAGTTGAATACCGTGATAGTTTCAAATCTTGCATTGCCTTCCATAAATGGACTAAATATTTTTCAGGAATAGTGTCATCCTCAACTTCAGCCACTCCACCACCTTCAACTTCAGCCACTCCACCACCTTCCATAAATATTTTTTTTTTATTTTCTTCAGTTGAATACCCCTACCACCTCTGTTAGCCACTACATCACCTGTGTTACCCACTGCACCACCTCTGTTACCCCCTCTACCACCTCTACTACCCCTTGCACCACCTCTACTACCTCTGACACCACCTCTTACACCACCTCTAGTCCAATGACTGATATTAGGATCCAATCTTGGTCTACCCATTTTTTGCTTGGGTTTGGGTTCTGGTGTGACCTTGGGATTCTTACAGGATGCCTTGTTATGACCCCTTTGAAGACAATTTTTGCATTGGACAGTCCTTCCTTTTCCTGTAACCTTCATCTTATTTTGGGAGTATTTGTCTTGAGATTCAGTGGCATGCCTCTTTCTTTTCAGAGTTGGTCTCCCTGGCATTCTTCTAGCTAAAGGGGGTAGAGGCTTTATGTATGATGTTCTAGGCCATAAATTTCTACCATTCACAGGTAGTATATTGTTTGCATATATGGCCTTGAACCTGTCCACATGAAACCACTCACTTATGAAATGAACAGGATCTTGTCCAGTGAATAATATTGCACACTGTGCATGTACACATGGAATTCCTGAGATATCCCAAAGCCTACAGCTGCACACTCTGCTTTGTAAGTTAACCACGTACCCTTCTAATCCATTCCTGGCTTCAAAAATAGATGGTCCACTTGGATTCACATTCCAATTCCTACAATGGCATTACTAAATGAAATCATAACAATGAAATTAGAATAATGATAACAAGGAACAATAAAAATGCTAAGACAAACCTCAAATCCTCTCCAAACTTGTTCATTTTTTTGATAGCAGCTGGACAAACCACTGATTCCCACTTTTCTGCCTTTTGTAACATATGGTAGAACCTATCCATCATGTACAACCTAATTTCTTCAAACATTGCTAGAAGGGGTTTCTTTCTAGCATCCAATATGATGGCGTTGAAGCACTCTGCAATGCCATTTTCAACTGCCTCACATGCTACATCAGTCCTAAAAAATGCCCTGCACCATGTGTGAGGATCTCTTGCGATCAAATGTTCATAAGCATTTGGATTAACCTCTTTTATATCATCCATTTTCCTGAGAAATTCACTCTCTACAGTTGATAAGGAAGCTGCCCAGAACATATTCTTGAACTCCACTCCAGAATAGGTCTTCCTAAAGTTAGCATATATGTGTCTTGCACACTGTCTATGCTCCACATTTGGTAGGACTTCTTTGGTTGCTTCAAGCAATCCCTACAATTTAATGAATACATAAACATATAAGATGATGTTAAGGAAAAATCATAAATATGCAAAGAAATTACAAACCTTATGTTGATCAGAAATTACAGTAAACCCTCCTCCATCTAGCAGATTAAGATCCTCTGTGAGCAGTTCCAAAAACCATTTCCAATTAGCTTTGTTTTCAATGTCAACAACTGCCCAAGCAATTGGATAAACTTGGTTGTTTGCATCCCTCCCTATTGCTGTGAGTAATTCTCCTTTACATGTCCCTTTCAAGAAAGATCCATCTAGACCAATTACCCTACGGCACCCTATTTTCCAACCTTCCTTGATTGCTTTAAAACACAAATACATCCTGTGAAAGTATGTTGTTTGATCTGGATTTACAGTGACACCAACTTGGACAGTGCTACCAGGATTTGACCTTAGTAACTCATGGCAATAGTCCCACACCCTAGCATAATGTTCTGTAAGTTTACCATCTATAATGGTCATTGCTCTACACCTTGTTCTGTAAGCCTTAGACCAAGATACACCACAATGAAATTTGGTCCTAATTATTGATTGCATCTCCTTACACTTCAAGTTAGGTTTCATTATCAACTCCTTCAAAAAGTGTCTTGCTAGCCATCTGGGACTCAGTAAATTTGAAATATTGAAATTTCTAACACATTTGTGCTCATCGACTAAGGTTTTAATCTGAAAAGACCTTTCTTGAGTCATCCAGGAAGCATGAACTCTGAATGGGCAGGGTTGAGACTTCATCTTAGAACCACATTTGGCAGTTAATCTCACAGTGTCACACTTCGCAAATTTAATGTTATACCCTGACTTAATAGCATAATTAGTGAGACATTGTTGCAACTGATGTGGTGATTCATACCTTTCACCAAGAAGGGGCTTCATCTTATTCCACTTAACTGATGGGTCGTGAATGGGGAAGCCTGCACCAACCGCATCTCCCAAATCAAGATCATTAGCCCCTGCTGTGTCATCGATTTCCTCTTCTGAACCAAACCCTTCTTCATCTTCATCAACTAAGTCATTGTCTTCATCGGCTTCATTATCTTCATAATCAGAACTGAAGTTAAGGAAAGCATCCTTGCATCTCTCTTTACCCTGTGTCTTGAAATCATCTTCTTCCAGTTCCACATCTATGTGCTCAGTATCGAGCACCTCGTCATCATCTTCGTATTCTTCAGAGTCGTATTCTTCAGATGACTCATGGCGAACTTCTTCTGATTCGACAACCATTGGGTTTTACCTTCGTTTCTCTGAGTAAAACCTTACTTCTTTCGTGTATCACTCTGTAAAAACCCTATCTTTTTCTCTCAATCGATTTACCAGACGTCGAATGCAGTGGAAATGGAAGGGTAAAACTCACTTGTACACGTAAGGTGGGATACCGGCTAACCTATTAAATATCTCGTTTTGATTACGTTTACAGGTATTTAGGACTAAATTGCAAAAAAAAATATATAAGGGCTAAATCGATTATACGGGCAATACTTAGGGACTTTATTGTAGTTTTCCCTAAATTTATTATTATATTCAGGGACAATTTAGAAAGATAGAGGTTGTATCATCTTTTTTAATACATGTGGCATTTTGAAGTTAAATGGATGATGGATTCTATATAATATCAAAAGGGTAAATGTCAATGTAGCTCAACCATCTTACAAGTTATGGTTTAAATGATCCTTTTTTTGCATTTAAGAGGAACGAAGTCTTACTCTACTGGCTAAAGTGGTCAAGTTACCTGTTTTAACAAGTAAACCATACACGTCATAATAAAAGATAGAGTAAATTACACGGATGGTCCCTATGGTTTAGGGTAATTTGCGCGTTTGGTACCTAACTTATTTTTTTTAACTCGGAAGGTCCCTACTGTTTGTTTTTGTTACGCGTTTGGTCCCTGTCTTACCTAAAAAGACTATTTTTCTTTGATTTTTTAATTTATTTAAATAAACACACCCCAACCCTACTCCCCTCACCTTATTTTACCTACCCCACCATTTTTTCCTATATAAATAATAGTCTTTTTAAGTAAGACAGGGACCAAGCGCGTAATAAAAACAAATAGTATGAACCAAGTGCGTAACAAAAACAATCAGTAGGGACCTTCCGAGTTAAAAAAATAAGTTAGAGACCCAACGCGCAAATTACCCCAAACCATAGGGACCATTCATGTAATTTACTCTAAAAGATAATAAAAGTCAGCAAGTGAGTCAATATTAAGTCAACTCTGAGTTAACTCGTGGACAAGTCACTGAGTTTGACTGGTTCTTTGCTTGGGGACTAAGGGTCAATGTGGACCCATCAGTCAATAAAAGGGATGACTTATTCAATGAAACCCTAAATTTTCAAGCCCCTCTTCCACTAAAGGATATCGACAATTCGATAAAACCTCACTTTCATGTGAATAACGACGACGACCTTACCACCACATTCACCAGATTCAATATCTATAAATTCGAGAGACCATCTCAACTTCGGCGATTTGCATATTATTTATTGTGATTGTGGAGCACAAATCGTAGAACAAAAAAATGGAAGTCGCCCATTTGAAAGAAGAAATGAGTCGAGATTTGGTGTTAAGTATGGTTGAGTCACTCGTATTGCATCGTCGGATTGAGTACACAGAGAAAAAGTTAACTTCGCATTGCAATGGAATTTTATTGTTATGTTAATGGATGCATTATCACGTTTCCTTTCATGTTTAACCATCTATTTGTAATGGATTTGTAATCCTTTTTCTATTAAATGAAAACGTCCTGCTATTGTGTGTCATCATTTTGTTTGTGATATAAGTATACATATAATAACATCCAACATACACATACCATACAAAACACTTGCAACACATAAAATATAAAACACTTGCACCCATGCAAGTCCATTACATTCAAACATGCAAATGACAATAAACGTATGGGACCACATACATATTAATCTGAACAACCAACCAAGATAATACTACAAGAAACAAACTTAAATAACCCATCAAACATCATACAAGCACTTATCCCTATTCGATATTCATTGAATTGTCACCTAAACTGCCTTCTCCATTTTTCCCTTCAACCCTTTTAATCAATCTTTTTCTTTATAATGCTCTCAGATTGCTTCCGTTTATGTGCACATGTTGTTTTTGAACCACTTCCTTTCTCTTCATTACTACCTTTAGTAGTTGATCTCTTTCTCTTCGCCTTGAGTTTTTTGGGCCTCTCAACTTAAGGACATGTAACCTTGTTGTGACCAACTTGTGTTACACACACTGCAAAGAATTTTTTCCCAACCTTTGACATAGTGTCTCTAGTAGTATTTTCACCTGGGTTCTTCCTTCTATTGACTTTAGGCTTGCCTGACATTTTCCTTTTCAAAGGTGGCTGTGGTGGTATGAATTCAATACTAGGTCACATGTTGTTGCCATTCATCCCATTCAATGGATACTTGTAAGTGTTTTTGTAAACAGCTCCAAAGAACATGGGATCCACATAACTTCTCACATAGGTAAAGAGATAGTTGCAACTGATTGTACATACCCATAGCCATTTAATTGCCACACTCTACAAGAACATATCTTCTTGTCTAAATCCACCACATAAGACATTGCTAAGTTTCTTATCTCAAACTGGTTAAAACCAGCTGGTAAAACCTACCAATATCTAATAACACTGTCTAAAAGTTAGTACATGTTTAGTATTTTTGATGATGTTAAGAAACTAAAACTAAGTTTACCTTTGAGCTTTTTTCAATTGATTCAGTAAGGATGTAATTGCTGGATATGGTTGAAAATCTGGCCATAAAGTGCCTTTCATGCTCAAATGAAACTGGATTTTCGTAACATACAATCTAATCTCTTCAAGCATTGTGATGATTAGGTATAAAATCTTTTTTTACATTTTTCTCATTTATATTTTTATGATGTTTTTTTAAGTAATTTTCTTAGTTTGTTGGCATGTTGTTTGGATACATTTTAGCTTTTTTAACTTT